GATCAAACTCAGATAAAAGTTCAAGGCAATACTTATACTGATTGAGAACTAATTCACGCGAAAATTGAACAACTTCAAAATCCAAGAAATATTTAAGGTCACTAAGATCTTTGATGTGAAATTGATCATGAAGATATAGTGTTTGACTTAGTGAAAAAAGAAAGATTGTTACTAGTTAAGATAATGTCATCCACATAAATTAAAAAAGCTGTGAAGGAAGTGTTTGTTTGATGAACAAACAGAGAATGATCCGTTGAGCTTTGGGTAAAACCAAAGGTGATTAATGCATATGTAAGCTTGATATCCCATTGTCGACTAGTTTATTGTAATTCATATAATAATTTGTGTAATTTACAAACCATTTTTGAAGAAGGAAGAACAAATCTAGGTGGGAAGAACAAATCTAGGTGGTGACCTTGTATAAACTTCTTCTTGAATATCACTATGTAAGAAGGTATTGTCTACATCAAGTTGATGTAGAAACCAACCAGAGGATATGATAATAGAAAGAAGAAAGTGTATTGTTGTTAATTTCACTATCAATGAAAAAGTCTCAAAGAAATCTACCTCCTCTATTCATGTAAAACTCTTGGCCACCAAACCAATTTTATATCTTTCAATGGAACCATCTGCCCGGTATTTGGTTTTGTAAACCCGTTTACAACCCACAATTTCTTTCTTGAAGGCTAACCAATAAACAAGTTTTGTCCCTCTCTAAAGCTTCCAATTTAGTCATCATGGCTGTTTTCCAGCATTTAAGTTGATTTGCATCCTATCAGGATGTAGGATCAGTTGTACTAGAAATAGAAAGACAAAAAACCATATGAGAGTTGGAACATTTTAAATAGGAAAGATAGGAATGTAAGGGGTAAGGGGTAGTGGAAGTAAGATGAGATGAAGCAAGTGTAGGACAATGATAATCAACTAAGTAATAGTAGTTCCTTTGTTCGAGGGAAAATCCTGATATTTGACTTAGTGATTTGAAGAAGATCATGAGAAATATAGGCAATATTTTCTAACGAAAGTTAGAATCAAAGGTATGTGAGGAATCATGTAAAACAAAAGATGATGAATGCGGACAAGTAGTATAAAAAGTGATAAGATAATCAAATTTGGTATTATTATGAATGTTATTTAACTATTCTGAATGAGAAAATGTGGAGATTGGAGTGGCATAAGGAAAATGTGTTTCATAAAAGATGACATTACAAGATATGAAACATGACTTGTGATGAAGATTTATAAAACATATCCTTTATTTCCATCTTTGCAACCTAAGAAAATGGATTTTGCAGCTCTTTTATCAAACCTAGTTTTTCCATATTTGAGAGTAGTGGTATATCTAAAACATCCAAACACACGTAATAATTGTAAATCAGGGGCATTATTTTTTAAGAATGGTGTTGGAAGTCTATTTATGACGTGAGTGACATGCCTTACAGCAAAAGACCAAATGTAGATGGGTAAATGTGCTTGAAATAATAAGACATGACTAACATTTAATAAATGTTGATGTTTTCTTTCATGATTTTGTTAAGGAGTAAGAATGTCTTTGTTAGAAAAAAAAAAAAAAAACAAAGTTAAGTAGAATCTTTTGTCATTATCAGACCTAATTTTCTTTAGTTTTACCATAAATTGGTTTTCAATTAATTGACAAAAAATGGAAGAATAAATTTGACATTAGACTTAGCATGTAAAGGATGAATTCAAGTGAACCGAGTAAAGTTAGTTAAAAAGTATTGAAAGCCATCAATTGAAATAGTAGCGACTGGACCCCAAATGCCCAAAAGTTTAAAAAATTTGGAATTTTTATTGTGGCTAATAGGAAAATGTAAATGCTTTTGTTTTGCATAATGACAAGTGTCACAAGTTGTAAGTTATCAAATGTAATGTTTGTATAGAAGACAAAAAATTCAACATTTATTTGATGTGACCAAGCCTAAGATGTCACACCAGAGAGCTACTAGTATTTTATACAAGAGAAAAATGAGATGAAGAAAAATGCTTATCAAAAAATGAGGCACATGAATTCAAGTCACTAAAGTCTTGTAAGTAAAATAAGTTATTCTATTGCTTAGTTGCACCAGTCACTCAAAAGTTGGAATTCTACATGATGAAAACATGTATCACAGAATAATATCATGCAGTTAAGGGTATAAAGCAATTTGGGAAGGGATATGAGATGAGCAGTGAAATATGGTACATAAAGAGCATGAAGAAGGGTCAAATTACTAAGTTGAATAATGTTAGAAAAGTTAGCAATGATAGTAGTATGGTTTGGTAACTTGATGGATATTAGTTTGATAGGTTTTAAAAAAGTGAAATAAATTTTGGAAAGACAAATGTGGTATGTAGCATAATTGTCCAGAATCCAATAAGGAGAACAGGAAATATCACGTGTAGATGTTTGAGTGTGATTGACAGAAGAGGGAGTTGTCCTTGGATTGTTGAAGAAGAGGCATGAAAACTTGGTATTGTTCCTTTGAGAAACTAAATTGGTTATGGTTAGAACTATCACCCAAGTGGGAGTTTTGTGAAGTATTAGAATTCATAGTAGTCAAACTAATGGAAGAAGTAGGATTGGAGGAATTGTTGTTTTTTGACTTTCAATATTCAATAGGAAAAGCAATTCGTCAGTAGCAAGTATCAATAGTATGATTTGATTTCTTACAATGCTCACAATATTTGTTATTGTATCCATGAGACCTGCGAAGAGAAGTGTTCTTGGTGGCAACAAATTGGTTTTTAATAGAAACATTGAGAAGAACCGCAAAAGCAACAGAATCTTAAGAAGAGGGGTGAGATGAATTACCAACAAATTCACATTCGTGCTGGAGGATCATGGAAAAGCTCTTAACAAGAGAAGACATAGGATCTAGCATCATTACTGGAGAATAAATTTGAGAATAAACCATCATTCAAGCTCCCAAGAAAGTGAGTAACACAATCATCTTCATGTTTTTTTGTAATTTTTGAAGAAGACAACAATAAGATGACGTATAGGTACATAAAGGAACACAATGGTACATTTCAATTTCTTTCTAAAGAATCTTTAACCGAATATAATACTAAGAGATATTGGAACCACCTTGCTTGCAATTTTGAATTTGATCTTAAAGATTTGTCATACAACTTATTTGCATGGGAGAATCGATCTTTCCAAATTTTACCAAGTAGTATAAGTGGCGGATCTTGACAATTGATCTTGGGGGACCAAATAATATATTATTAATAAATAATAAATAAATATAAAATAATATATTATTAATAAATATTAAATAAATATAAAAAGAAGAAAGAAGATGAAAGGGTAAAAGGATAAAATTGTAGATATATATTTAAATATATTAAATGATCATTAAGTTTGAGGGGGACAAAGTCATAAATTACATGAGAGTTACAAAATTGAGGAGAGACTCGAGAGGATAGAATTGTAAATATACAAGTAAATATATTAAATGTTTATTAAGTTTGGGGAGCTAAAATCATAAATTACATGGGAGTTATAAAACTTTGTGGGGGTCACGGCCCCTCAGCTCCCAAGAAGATCTCGCCACCGATATCTATCCACGTGACGAAGTGTTTGATAGCCGGAGTCTTGGATCATGTTAGTCAAGATATCACCATGCGATTGCAGCAATGCTAAACATCATGTAGAGGATCATTGTTCGAAGGACAAGGAAAATCAATGGTGAGAAATATTTCCTTAGTTTCGAGAGCAACCAATATTTCACATTCTCATTCATAATAGTTTGTTAGTGAGAAGTGCAGAAATCATAACGACAGTTAAATTTTCTCCAACAGAAAGGTAGAAAGGATTGTTGGATTAACAATGATCCGATGGTGGACTATGAGTAAGAACACCATGAGATGTATTTTGATTGGAGCTAGCCATAACAAATAAAAGGTAAAGGCCAGCAAAAAGAATAGGGCAAAAAAGCATAGAGGGTGTCTAGATAATGATACCATATTAATGTTTAGGATTTTAGAGTGAAAAAAGAAATGCACTTTTAACAAAAACAACACAAAGTATTGGTAATTGTCTAAACAAAAAGAAAAATGGTTTACAAACTGTTATCAAAATAACTAATATCCCTAGTTCATGAGTGTCAAGAAGACAATAGTGATTTGAAAGTAAATATATAAAACGAAAACAAAACATAAAGGTCAAAATATCATTTTAAATATATATATATATATATATATATATATATATATATATATGAAATAGGAGTGTATTTAGCAAAAAAGGGTGTGTAAGAAGCTGCCATGACGTGAAAATGTGTATATTGTACTATAAGCCCAACTCATTGAATATATATTAATCAAATTCCCATTTTTGTCTATGAGAAATCATGTAGTAGTGTTCGATTTTATTTTTTACAGGACTTGTGGAAATCCTTTATAACGATTTTATAAAGTTTTTTAATTCACTTAAATAAATTATACAGTTAACTTATTTTTAAAAATTAAATAAAATACATAATTAATGTGTTTTCCTAATTCTTCCTTATCCTAATAAATGCTCTTAAATTCACATAGATACCATTCCTCTCATACAATCTTTTCAAGCAAAGGTGGTGGTTGACATAAAACCACATTTTACTTCTACAGCCACATCACTCCATTTAATTCGACAGTTAACAATGTACTCCGATTAGCTTTAATCCAACCATTTATGTATATTTGATTAAAAATCATAAAATCACACTATTTAATATTTTCTAACATAATAATTTTTAAATTTTTTAAGTCTTTGACTTTATAAACTAACTAATTTAACTATATTTATTTATTGAAATGTTATATAATACAAAATGGAAGTATTATAATTTATGATTACTTTGGACATATAACAAAAGTGTGTTTAAGAGAATAGGTTATTAACCATATGTTCCTCTAATTTTCGCTTATCAGCATATAAGAATAAGGTCCACACACCATTCCTTCTTGTGAGTTAAGAGGTGTGCAGTTCAAATTTTCTCACCAGCTTCTTCACCATGCCTTCAACTGTCTTTCAATGGCTAAGTCTTGTGGGCATCATTTGGCTCCAATCCATAAATGGAACAAACACCAATTTCCCTGCTTACTCCTCACAGCTGAAGCATCTCCTTACCATCTCACAATTTCAGCTCAATAACCTTGCTTTTGCCTCTGATGCTGGAAAAGTTTTTGGCTTTTTTTCTGGCTTGGCTGCATTTTACTTCCCCCTTTGGCTAGTGCTCATGATTGGTTCAACTCTTGGGCTAATTGGCTATGGTGTACAATATCTCATCATAACAGAACAGATCTCCTCTCTCTCCTATTGGCATGTCTTCTTTCTAACAGTTTTAGCAGGAAATAGCATTTGTTGGATTAACACTGTCTGCTATGTCATCACAATAAGGAACTTCTCATATGATTGCCAAGTTGCTGTGGGGATAACAACTAGTTACCAAGGGTTGAGTGCTAAGATTTATACCAGCATTGTTGATGCAGTTGCTGGAAACAAAAGGGCCAAAACATTTCTCTTTCTAAACTCAGTCTTACCTGTGATAGTTAGCCTAATAGCAGCTCCTGTGGTTAGAGAAATAGAAGTCGTAAGGCCTAAACACATTAGTGTTGGATTTGTTCTTATGTTTGTTATAACAATTGCCACAGGAATTTATGCTGTGATGAGCAGCTTGGAATTTGTCTCCAGCAGAATATCTTCACTTGGGAACCTTATTGGTGTTCTAGTGTTCCTTCTCTTGCCTCTATTAGTTCCACTTTCCATGAAGATCCATGCACTAGTTGGGTCATGGCACAAAAATAGAGAAAAACAAAGAGTGTATAATTTTACTTCGGAGGATGGTCATAAAGAAGAGAGAATAGAGAATGAGGAGAAAGAAGGTGAAGAAGATAGTGGAGAAGTTCAAGACGTAGGTATGAGAGAAGAAGTAGGAGCAAAATTAATGGTGAGAAGAATAGATTTCTGGTTATACTTCTTTGTCTATTTGTTCGGTGCAACACTCGGTTTAGTGTTTCTGAATAACTTGGGGCAAATAGCTGAATCCCGGGGTTACTATAGAACTTCATCATTGGTGTCATTGTCTTCTTCTTTTGGATTCTTTGGCCGTCTCATGCCATCTATAGTGGACTACTTTTACAGGTAAATTACTCATTTTCTACCTTCCTAGCTATTCCTATCTAACACCAACCAGTATCTGGTGCATTTACTTTGTAACATAACTCAAATAATGACCATAAATGTGTTAGTTGATCTGCATCAATGAAGATCAACATACTATTAAATTAACCCTTTACTTTTATTGACATTTTTTTTCGTATGGTATGGGGTATGCAGGAATAAGTGTGCAATATCAAGACCTGCTTCTATGATGGTATTAATGGCTCCAACTGCAGGTGCATTTTTTTTACTTCTCAACAAGACTCACCTTGCCCTCTACGTTAGCACTGCCATAATTGGAGTGTGCACTGGGGCAATCACTTCAATCGCTGTGTCCACGACCACTGAGTTATTTGGAACCAAGAATTTCTCCGTGAACCATAATGTGGTGGTGGCCAACATTCCTGTGGGGTCCCTTTTGTTTGGCTACCAGGCTGCCATTGTTTACCATAAGGCAGGGAATGAAAATGGAAAATGCATGGGCATGGAATGCTACAGAAACACTTTCATCATATGGGGTTCCCTTTGTTTCTTTGGCACTTTTTTGGCTTGCATTCTACACGCTAGGACCCGCAAATTTTACTCACATAAGCTATAGGACACTTACTTTTTTGTACTTTTTTGTAAACCATGTAACCAATATTCCCAACACATGGTTGTATATATGTTTTTGATAGAATCTAATATATAGCTCTGTTCTTGTTTCTTGTATTTTTTTTAAGAATAAATTACGATAATAATTCCTTAATTTTTCTCGTATTATAATGATATTATATAATGCTTTTATAGGATTGTGATGATATGTTTGGATGGACTTGTTGATTTATTTTTATTTTTTTCTGTAGTTGAGTGGAGTTAGAAAGAGAAGAAGCTTCATTTACAAAGTTTCTCAACATTATAATAATATTCATATATTTCGAAATATGCTTAATATTTCGAAGATTTTTTTAATATTTGGATACAATAATAATACATTAACGGAGATATTATTTATATATGTAATTTTAAAATTTCAACGAAAATAAATATTTCTTTCTTTTATTTCATGGATTGTGCTCAGAGAAAAGAATAACACCCAATGATGTGTCAATATGGTTGTAATATACTATCCAACCTAGTTTATCACAAATTTTAGTCAGGGTTGGGTTAATTTTTTTTTTATTGATAATAGATTAAAAATAAACCTGATTCTTTTAACTCACGGATTAAGTATGTTCGAATCATATTATGATAAATTAGTCTATAACTCATCGTTTATTTTAAATTTTAAAAATAATTATAATAATTTAATAATGTCAATTGATGTTATTTTATCTCTCTCTAATCTAAGTTGTCCTTACAAGTTAATATTTTCACTCAAGCTTATCATTAATTGTTCGTTGTACCACTTGCATTCGCCACTGCATCTGTGCTACTTGTCATTCGTCTGTCACACCACTACACCATCTTATTCGTTGTATTTGTCGTATCATCGTGTTTCAGTTGAGTCACAATGTTTGTTGCGTTTTAGTCCTACGTTTTAATTGTATCACAATATTTGTCGTATCACTATATCACAACATTTTAGTCGCATCATAACGTTTGACATCACTGTGTTCGTTGTACCACTAAATTCGTTGCATCATCATGATATTTTGCTTTAGTTACATTATAACTTTTGTCGCATCATAACATTTGTCGTGTTTCTACGCCGTTATGTTTCAAGTCTGCGATTCAATTATGATTATTAAAAAATATATATATAAACATAAATGTGGATTAGTATGTTAACCCATCAACCCGTAATAAGTTAAATTAGATTATAAAAATTTTTAAGTCACCATAAAATGAATCGGGTTGAACTCATATATTTTTAATTTAAGTCATGGTCGTATAAGCCGGTCTGGCTCACTTTAACCCCTTATATACCACACATTTTGGGAGAGATACAAAGAAAGAAATAAATGCACTTATGTACAAAGAAAGAGATAAATGCACGTATAATAAATTATATGAAATATACCACACATCTTGGGAGAGAGATAGACGCAAGTATAATAAATTATATGAATAGAAAGAAAGAGAGGAACGATAGCAAATTTTAATTGAAAATTTGTTAGTTTGTTAATTGACATTAATTAGTGCATTAGATAAGTATGTAGACCATTTCAATGGTAATTAATTAAAATATAAACACAAATATGAAATAATAATGATATGATTAGTTGGTTGTGAGGTGCTTTCACCGATTTGTAATTCGAAAATGGACAACGACGTGCTCTACTTCCAATGGCTTTAATTGTGAAACCGATTCAAAATTTATTTCTACCACCGTACACGAAAACGAGTCTCTATCATCTCATCAACATAATTCTCTCATTTTTTTTTATTTAAATGATTTTGATAAAAACTAGCCCAAACCTGAAAAGTTAATTTACGATGAAAATAGTAAAATCTTGTAGTTAAAAGTTGTTAAACTAATTTATTTAATTATACATATAGATATTTGATAAAGTAAGTAGTTAATGAATATAAAAATGGATACATCTACTTTAATTTAATTTAATTTAATGGATGAAAATACATTTTGAGATATTTATAATATATATTTTTTAATTAATTCTAAACTACTCAGTGTTGATGTATTTTTAAATTGTATGATTCTATTATTAATATGATATAACATCTTAAAATATTTCTAATCAACATTATTACAAAGTATTTAAAATAGTTAGTTTATAAAAAACGATTAAAAAAATTAGCTAGTAAACCAAATATTAATTAATGATCCCAACAATCAAGGTTTAAAATGCTGCTAATTATGGTTTTAAATCGCTGTCTAAAAAAAGCATATATAGTGTTTTACTGGTTTACGTAGCCCTATATCAATCACATATCTCACACCTTGTTACTCCTATTTACAATTTGTTTGCAAACTTGCAAACCACAAATTAAACTGTGATTAATTATAATCGTGTTAGTAGGAAATCGAGAAAAGCGATCGAAAAAATGAAGGAAAGAAAAATCGAGAAACATGTGACTGATCGGTAAAACGAAAAGGTAGATGAGGAACCATTCGATGTCCAATTAGAATGACATGACACATAAAATCGAAAGTTAGAGTCGGAATCGGAGAAATAATAGTCAAAAGTTTATTGTGGAACAAACCAAGAAATTAGAAGCATATGATGCTAAGGTAAAAAGGAATCAAAAGTAAATCCAAAGTTCTTGACAAAATCGAAGTCTAAATCGAAAGGAAGGTTAACCCGCATAAAATCAAAATCGTGGCCAGATCATAAAGAGGAGTTAAACACGTATATAGGAAACAGTTTCTAAATCGTAGCAGAGGTTGAAGATCAGGGGAACGTGGGTGCAGTTTTGACACCACAGAAGAAAAAACTGCAACGCGCACGAAGAACGTGGTAGCAGTTTTGTTAACTGCTCCTGGAATGCTTGAATGATGCCCTATAAATAGTACAAAGGAGGAAGGAACAGGGAGCAAAAAATTGGCAGAGAACAGGATCAGTAGTGAGAAAGTCTACCGGAGAAACGACGAACACCATGAAGCTCCTGGCAATCTGGATTTCTATGCTCACGGAGTACCTTTATCGCTTTCTGTATTTTCCTTGGTAATTTACTTTGATGCAATTTATGTTTCAACAATTTTATGTTTCTGTATTTTCGATTCTTAGTCATTTCAATTCAATGAAAGTTTAAATTTCTGCATTTAAGTTTCCCTGTTATTTAACGTTCTGCAAATCTCGATTTCCTGTCATTTACTTTTCTTGCAATCTCGATTTCTTGTCATTTATATTTACGCTATTTTCGATTTCTTGTCATTTACAATTAATGCAAATTTGGGGTTTTCGCACTTTACATTTCCTAGCAATTTAAATATTCTATTTCTCGATTCGATACTTTTACTGCTTTCGGTAGTCTAAATATAAAATACTAAAAAATAGCATTTTGATAGGCTGTAACTTTCGATTCTCATACACGTTTTTCGATTGAAAGTCAGACTGCTAGCCTAAGTAAAAAGAACTTATGTGGGAGGATTTTGATTAGGACCAAATCACCTTTAGAATCGAAATCGATCGAAATTCCACCAGAAACAAATTGGCGCGCCAGGTAGGGGACGTGTGTTGAAAAAACACAATTGGTTAGTTCGAGAGTGTATGAGATTAAGGAGTGGGAGAGTCATGAGTCAGAATTCATCAAGTAACCAGAGTAACAGTGAGGGATTAAATGGGTCACACTCATCAAATACTGGGGGACAAAGTCATAATGGGAATACACCTGTAGTATCGACAGCTGTAAGTATGTCGATACCTGTGAGTAATGAACAAAATTCAGGCACTTTAGCAAATACCCAAGTAGGATCTAGCACGGTGGCACTAAACAGTATGCCAACTATGGGAAACCCTATAACAACAAATGTTGAGCCGTATATGAGTATAAGACCACCTGAGTTTTCGCTTAACATGAATGGGGTTGGTACTTCCACTACAAGAAAAACATCAAATAGTGACCGAAAATTCGGTCACTAAATCTGCAAAATCGGTTACTAATTAAAATAGTGACCGAAATAGTGACCAACTGGAATCGGTCACTATTTCCTTGGTCACTGATTTTAGTGACCGATTCAGTGACCGATTTAGTGACCGATTTAGTGACCGAATCAGTGACCGATTCAGTGACCGAATCAGTGACCGATTTAGTGACCGATTTAGTGACCGAATCAGTGACCGAATCGATGACCGATTCAATGACCGAATCAAGTGATCGATTCAGTGACCGAATGGAATCGGTCACCGAATCTAGTGACTAATTTAATAATCAATTTTAATTTTTTTATTCACATGCTAAATAAAAAAATAAAATCAAATAATTATATTACTAAATTATTTAATAAGTTAGTAAACAATTTTTTTAAAATATTTATAATGTTATTAAAAATGTTATCAATTATTTTAAATTATTAAGTAAATTTATATTTAAAATATTTTAAATAAAATATTTATATAAATGAAAAATAGTTATCGGGGTAAAAATTATTTTTTTAGTGACTAAAATTTTAGTCACTAAATCGATTACTAAATATAAAAAAAATTAATAATTACATAAATTAAATATAGATTAATTAAAAAAATAAATTAAATAATAAAGTGACTGAAATAGTAACCGATTTTATGTGACCGAAAATTCGGTTACTATTTCTGATTACTAGACTAAAAAATAAAAATTTGGTTACTCGATTCTGGTCACCGATAGTAACTAAATATTTCGATCATCGATTTCGGTTACTATTTGACATTTTTCTAGTAGTGTTCTTCGATGCAACGAAATTCGAGAAATAACTTAGGAACATTCCAAACCCTAGGTATGCCACAGAATTTTGGAGCATCTCCAAACCTAGGAACATCTCAAAATTTAGTAATTCCCCAGAACTCAGGGAGTGTGCAGAATGTAGGAACGCAGCAAATACCTCCAAATCTAGATCATAGAGGAAACTTAGATCATGGGAGATATGCGTTCGATAGGGATTATCATCGATCTAATTTTGATACTATCGAAAATACCGGTACTGAGATATCCAATAACTCATTAGGGATACTTAGA